GTTTGCTGCAAATGCAGCTTCAAGGTATTCGGGATGGGGGTTTGAGAAGATGATAGAGTGGGCTAGAGGAATTGGGAGTGCAGTAAGGTTTCATTGGACTATCTTGGAATAAACTGAGTATTTCTCAGTTTTGTGTGTATGTGTTTATAACAGAAAGATTAAAAAAAAAAACAATCTCAATTTCAAAACTTGAGATGTCAAGGAGGCAGGGGGAATAAGTCAATTTGTGTCAGAAGCAAAGCCAAAGTGGTGGCCATCCAGTGGTCATTTTGTACTATTGGTCATTTTAAAAAATGACTTGGATGAGGGTATGTTTATCAGATTTGCAGATGGCACAGACATGAAAGTCAGAAGGCAGGTTTAAAAGCTTCTTGACAGGCTAGGACATTGGGCTGAAAATAACAAGATGAAATGCAGCAGAAATAAATGATAATTCCTGTATTTAGATTTTTAAAAAAGAAAAAAAAAAACAATCAAGGCTGAGGTACAGAATGCAGGAGGCCTGGTGTCAGGATGTGTGTTCTGTCTGTCATTTCAGGTTGTAAACCGCAGCTCAGGAAGCCAATTCCATCTTAGGCTACCTTTACAAAAGCTTCATGGGAAATAATAATTCTGCTCCATTCTGCACTGGTCAGGTGACATTTGAAGAGCTGTGTCCAAATCTGGCACCACATTTTAAGGAGGACATGGACATCTAGTGGGAGTCCTGAAGGGCTTGATTAGGACTATTCCAGTTAACCAAACCACCTCTTTAAAGACACAGAAATAATGCACCAACCCAAACAATTGCATGCTTTCTTAAAAAGTATGTTTTTCCAGTCTGAAACATGCAAGGGAGCACCACTTGTCCTTCTCTGGAAAGGGAGCAGCAGAGAGAGGCAGGATGGCCACTGCAGAGAAGGGCCAAAATCCAGCCATGCCTTTTTGCACTTCCAGAGGCAAGGTGACCAGGCACTCTGGCCATGGGCAAGGGAGTGTGTGGGAGAGGGGGGCCTTGAAGATATCCCAGGCTCTTCCGAGTTTTAAAGGTCAAGCCCAGGACATGAATTGGCCCTGGAGACAAAACTGGCTGCCAGTGCAGGTCTTTCAATGGGGTTGCTTCAAGCATCCAGTGGCTAGCACATTCAGGAGTCTTGCTGCCTCAGTCTGGACTTCTTAAAGTGTATTGCCTAAACATGGGAGATGTGATAAAGATAAAGGATCCCGCATAGCACAGTGGTTTGAGTGTTGGACTACGATTCTGGAGACCAGGGTTCAATTCCCAGCTCGGCAATGAAACCCACTGGGTGACCTTTGGCAAGTCACATGCTCTCAGCCTCAGAGAAAGTAATGGCAAACCTCCTCTGAACTTATAAGTCGGAAACAACTTGTCACAGAGCAGCAAACAACAAGTCTCTACTGAACTCGGTTGGACTTAGTACTAAGTATGCTTGTCTAGGCTTGCACTTCAGTTTGTACTCAGATTCGGGGCATTTTAAGCTTTATCAAAAACCCATCACACAGTTGCTACCACAGGCTTTCTGCTTGGTGGGGTGGAGATTTTGATTCTTCATGGTTTGGGATGAAGGCAGGCTAGGGCCCTTTGGTCTTTCAGTGGTCCTCTTCTCTGCAGGTTTGGCCAGCCCTTTGTGTTGCATGTAGAGAAGACAATTCCATGGGATCTTCTGCAGAAGGAGATCTTGGAGAAGATGCAATACTTCCTGCGGCCCTCTGCCTGTCTTCAGGTAAGCTGGTCTGGGATTGGGCACCTCAGTGCCCCTGTCTTTATGTGTCTGCAAGGGGATGTGTTGGTGGGAATATTGTCCCATGCTCAGGGATTACATGTTTTCATCCACTTCTGATAGACTGCTTTAGAAAGGCTGAATAAAGTGCTTTGCACATAAAACAAAGTAATCTATCCCAATATACAATATACTAGGAGAATTCCAAAATTCACAGCTAGGTAATAGCTTTATTAGGACCAAGCAAATGGGTAGAAAATTAAGTACAACATTTTGAGATCTCTCAATCTCTTCATGAGGCCAGTCCGTTCTAACATGATGGAACCAGGAAAGAGCCACATATAAACTGGCTGCTGTTCTTGTTTGGTTGTATGGAGGGAGTGTGAAGAAGTGAAACAGGAGGAGATGTGGAATGAGAAGCAAGCCCTTTATATGCTTTCTCTTTATGAGTTATGGGCCCTCCAGTTGTCTCTTTCTCTGTGGGAATGCATGTCACGTATGTGCACCAAAGGACACGTGTCTGAACTGGAGTTGGTTGCGTGGAATCTCCAGCCAGCCATGGGTGAAAATATATCTTCTTCTTTGCCCCACCTCACTCCCAGCTTCTCAAAATGCACAGAAGGTCAACTGTTGAGGCACTCTTTCTTTTTCACCCCACTTCACTCTAGGTTTGTCCGTTCAGCTTGAGGGTTGTCAGTGCGGTGGGCATAACGTACCTCTTGCCTCAGGAAGAACGGCCTCTCTGCCACTTAATGGTGGAACGGTGAGCATAGTTTCCCTCTTGGGTGATGGATGGGCAAGGAAGAAGTGGGACTTTATTTCTCTCACTGGAGGGCATAGTGGGAGTTGCATCTCACCTCCACTGACAGTGGCCTCGCTGGGGCATATGGCACCAGGGCCACTGTGGAACTGGGCCCCAGGGACCCTGGGACTGCCTGCAGACAGCCTTCAGCAGGGTAGGAGCTTGTCTGTCTGTCTATCCTTGACTTGGTTCTGTTTGTCCTGAGAGAGAGTGAATAAAAGGAGTCCATCCAAGCATCTCTCAAACTGTCTCTGAGGACTGGCCCTTGGCTCCTCTGTGGTATCTTGCCCATGGTGGTCTTAGTCCCCAGCTGGGTTCCTACCTAAATGTGTACATTTGGGAAGTAGCCATCTTGGCCATGCAGCAAAATACAACAAAATCCAAAATCCACAAAACAGCAATAATTTTATGGGAACAACTAAAAGCAAAAAACAAAACAAACAAACAACAACAACAACCCGTAACGCAACCTTCCGAAACATTGCTTCTGCATCATGCAAAGATATTAAAAATCATGCAGAAGAAGGAAAATGACCATGTTAGAGTCACAGGCCTACATTTTGTCTCAAATGTTACTTCTGTTGTCAGTCCAAATGGTCTAGGGACCCCTGTGCAGGCAGAAGACATCCTCTTTCTGTGGGGACCAGGGATTGAGCTATTGCCTGTCTGTTGCTACTCTGTCCTTTGTCCTCACCTGGCCAAGAAAGGGAGTGGGCTCTGCCCATATTAGACCATCTGTACTGACAACAGAAGTAGACCTATGACTCTAATATTGTCACTTTTCTTCTCCTGTATGATTTTTAATATCTTTGCCTAATGAAGAAGCCAGTGAAACATTGGAAGCTTACATGATGTTTTTGTGATGTCTTTTTTGTGCTTTTTTGGTGTGCCAATAAAGGTATTGCTTTTCTGTGGATTTTGTTGTATTTTGTACCTAAGTGTGGTGAGAGAGAGAGAGAAAGAAATGTGGAACTGGCTGGGACGCGTGTGGCCTCTTTTGCTTAGTTTTGTGTTTCCCCCTGCAGAGCCCTGAAGTCCTGTGGGCAAGGAGGGACTCCTCATGTGAAGCTGGTGGTAGAGTGGGACAAGGAGACAAAAGACTAGTAAGTACCCTGGCCTTTGGCACAGGTGGGGCAGGGGCAGCCACAGATTTGGGCTTGAAGCTTCCTTTTCCAGACTCTTGAGTAGCCACTGCTCTGGTGGGATCTCCTGATGCCTCAGCTTGCCAGGATCTCCTTGTGGAAGGGTGGGTGAGGGAGTTGAGTGAGGGTTGCTGTCTCCCAACTTTGAGACAGGCTGACGTTGGATGCCCAGCAACAGCACGTTGGTCTCCCTTGGAGCATTTCCCCAGGGAGCTGCAAAGCCAGGCCCAGCATGTGGGTTGTACTGGGAGAGGCACCTTACAGAGCCCTAAATGCCCCAAATACCCTACTTCCTTCCCACAGTCTGTTCGTCAGTACGGAGGAGGAATACATCCCAGACGCAGAGAGCGTCCGCCAGCAGAGGGAGCTCCACCACCAGCCTCAGATCTGCACCTTATCGCAGTGTTTCCAGCTCTACACCAAAGAGGAGCAGGTGAGAGGAGGATGCAGCAGGGGCCTCTTCCCTTGTCCATTCTCTGGAGGGATTCTTGGGCTGCGCAAGGTGGAAATGCCAGGTGGAATGCTTTGTCACTAAATGAAATAGTCTGGTTGTTGTCTGTGGTGGTGAAGTGCAACCAGTCACTTAGTGGAACAAAATGTTCACCTACTTGTACTGAATCGGTTTTCCTTGTACTTGAAACTGAACTAATAAGCAGTGTATGGAGCAAGCAGGTGAAGCTGAAGGTACCATAGTTCTGCCTCAGCAAAGAGAAGGCAAATTGTTGATACAAGATACATCAGGTACAGCTCTCTTTAGGTATGTGTCCTAAAAAGA